AATGAGAAAGTAAGCAATTTTTCAGTAATAGTACACTGTGACACTTGTATTTTTATGTCTGATTTTGTAAGCAAGTAGTTTTTAAGTGAGGTGAAACTTGTGGATATGCAAGACAAATCAGACTGAAAGGGGTATAGTAGTTCGGAAAGGTTAAGATAGCCATTGCTGTATAGAATGTTAAAAATAATAAATTTTCACTATAAACTGTTTTTATTAGTCTGGAACAAATAAACAGTGATACAGATTAAATGGGAGATTCACCCAGTTTTAATCTCTAAAGAGAGGCTATGAGTGAATGCCTCCTGGTGACAAATGTTTGTGTTCCTGCGTTCTTTATTAAAATATACGTAATATATATTCTAAAAAATTGCTTACAGTAAGCAAGTGCACATTAAAGTAGCCATCTTATTCAAGTTTTTATAGAAAATACATTTTGCAAAATGTGTGTTCTACATTTTATATAAACAATTATGAAGTATTTTTTATATTTTATTAATGTGGTCTGTATTTCTTGAAAAGTTTCTCATTTCATCCCCTTAAATATTTACTGGTTTTAAGACCAGACTTTACTGCTTGTAATATTACTATTTCCTGCTTATTTTCTGTTCTGAGGTTATGAGCATGTCAAGTTTATTGTGTCCAGACTTAGATTCCATCCTTTTTTGTGACAAGATAGCATTGTTGTTCTCAACATGGATGCACAGAATGAACAATAGAAATCAGTGACCTAGAAAGCAATTCTTGAATGTTGCGCGTACAGTCAGTAATCTATCCCCTTCGCTTTCAGTGGACACTGAATGCTCTTTGTTCCTTAGGATAGAAAGAATTGGACTTCCATAGTTTCACAAAGGAAAACAACACTTTACATAGGAGGAATAATGGCTTTTGTGCCCTCCCCCGCCCCCGTCTTCTCTTTCATCTGTTTTACTGAATATCTATTGTGTATGTAAGAGATTAACGTCCCTCACTTGCTACAATAATGTTCCTTGACTTGTTTTATTAGAGAGGACTACCTCTATGATGCTTTTCTCCCTGGAATGTGAGACTACAGAAGGAATCTAATACTTTCAATTATGTTTACTGATTTTTCTAAACTTTCTTTTCCTCTTCTTCCTAGCAGTCTGTGGCTAAACAGTAGAACTCAATGTTTATTACCAAATAAAGCTGTTCAGCACATTTTAGATGTTTTTAATTGGGGTTTTCGTCCATGATTATGTCACTTGTAGGCTGTTCTGATAGGGATACTGTCAAGGTAATAATCATATTTAACCTCTTCATTCCAGACTCTTTCCTCAAAGAATGAGGTTGATAGGGAGAAAAATATTGGCATAACAGGGAAATAAATGTGGGTGTGGGAGAGCTAGAAGCTGTTTTTTGACTTAAATAAAAGAACAGTAAAATTCAACACAATTCTTAATTCAGACAAACTCAAGAAATTGCAACAGCTGTGGCCATCTTATTTCCCATTTTCTCCTTCCTTCCTGACTCTCGTATCCAAACTCCCTCTAGTGTTCTGATGTTATGTGTGTAATGCTAATTGAATACAATGGTGTAGTAATGGGGGCAACTGTGATTAAGAAGCAGCCCTGCAGAGCTTAGAGGGAGCCTCAGAGTTATCCAGTGAGCATGTGATTAAAAGGTTAGTTTTTTTACTTCTAAAACCTTCTGGGCTTTGAGCAGATAATTACATGCCATAACAGGGGCATGTCAGAACTAGAATGAAACAAACATCTTACCAGTATTACTTACTATATACATTTGTAGAATATTCAGTTATAATTACTTTTAGCATTTATGTTATTGGTTTACTTTTTGCACTCCCCCCCTCCCCACCTTTATCTGACTGGGAGTCTTGGGGCATACCACCAGCATGGAAACCAACCTCTACTGCCCCCTGAAAAGCGACATCTCTCTCCGCTGCAAAATCATGCAGGCTGAGGAGGCACACTGCTCAGCAAGATGAGCAAAAAAGAGAAAGAACACCCTTAGATTGAGGAACAAATAATTCCAGCAGACATTTCCACCTTTTTGCCTGATGAGGTAGCAATGGCCACTATGTCTACCTGACCTGACTATTATAAGACTTTTCAAGAACTGCTGTGCTGAATGGTGGATACCTTTGAGATTCCAGTTGAAATTATGCAAGAAAAATCATCCAGACTACTTGACATTTTGTATATGGTAATGCCTGGAAGATTGGCCATTAGATTTATTTGGTAGGAAGAACTGCTCTTCCTCAAATTTACAAATGGGTAGTTCAAATTGTTAGGCTCTCTTAGTGAAATGTGACATCATAAACTGGGACAAAATATCTTTTTATTGAAAAATTTCCCCCAAACAGCAGAGAAAACTACCAAAGAGGTCCAAACAGCTCTTGAGAACTCCTTTAACATCAAGACAAAGAAGCTGTGCACTTCCTGAAAGAGTCATATGGTATTCTTCAGTCTTTGGGGGTTTATACAGCAGTCCCTGGAAGGAAACAACCCAGACTGTTGAGTTGTTCTAGACGGGGCTGCTCTGCTTATTACTATAGCGAACAACGATCCTCTGAACCACCTGGAAAAAGTAGAGATTTCAATGGAGGAAAGCCTCTGCATAGTCATGCTATGTTCATCTTAAAGTAGCAAATCTGACATGTTAGTCAAGAGCCACTTGGAGCATTTAGAGGATCTATTTACTTTCTCTCCCTTTCTTCCTCTTCTTTTGGCCGTTTCCTTTTTTATTTTCCGGAGACTTGGAATCACATTACTTCAGGATCTTAGAAATCATCAGAATGTGGGTGTTCCATTCAATTTCGGAACCTTCCTAACACCCAACCCTCTTCAGGGACCACTCATGAGAGATTATTAAAAATGAGCTTACATCTAAATCTTGGAGCAATAGACGTGCCTCTAGAGTTCAGAGAGAAGGGGTTTTACTCACATTTTCTAATCCTGAAGAAGGGGTATGCCGCCCAGTTCTGGATTTGAGCTGTCTCAATACCTTAATCTGCCACTTAAAATTCAAATCCCTAACCTCTCTAATCCCATCCTTAGATCCCCAAAACTGGTTCATGCTGTTAACCTACAGGACACATGCTTTCACATATCAGTCTACCCTGCACACAGAAAATACCTGCAGTTCCAAGTGGGAAATTACCACAATTAGTACAAAGTCCTGCCCTTTGGTCTTTCAGCAGCACCAAAAGTAGTCACCAAGTGCTTGGCAGTCATGATGCCTCACCTGAGAAAGCAAAGGGCTTAGGTAGACTCTCGCACCACAATGATTGGCTCATTTGAGGGAGATCAGTGCAACAAATGAATGACTCCATTTCATATGATCCTACAACTTTACACTAAACTGGGTCTCAGAAGCAACAGAGAAAAGTCAACTTTAGTGCCAACCCAAAGGATAGAGTTTGTAGGAGTAGTATTAGATTCCACAACAGCAAGAGCTTATCTGCCATAAAACAGATTCAGTACCATTGTAGGCCTCATCAACCAGCTGCAGGCTCACCCTTAAATGTCAGTAAGAGTTTGCCTCAGTTTTCTTGATCACATTGTTTCCTGTATTTACCTCACATAACATGCCAGACTACACCCACCTTACAAAAGTAGTTGAAAATGTGTATCTATCGAACAGATATCACATGAACACAGGGGTACTGATCCCCTGAGAAGTCCTCTAATAGTTAAACTGGTAGAAGGACTCTGTGCAGGTTTGCAAACGTGGATACTGTTTTCTCCACCTGTCACCAGGGCACTGCTAATAGATGCTTCTGTGCTCAGCTGAAGAGCTTACCTGCACTACCTTCAAACCCAAGTCCTATGGGCTGCTGAAGAGAATCACCTTCATACAATATACTACAGCTCTGAACTGTTTGACTAGCCTGCACAGTATTTCTCTCCGTACTGAGCGGGCTGACAGACCAGGTTAATGCAGACAACACAACAGTGTCAGCAGACAGGGAGGAACACAATCATCAACTGGAAGGGATAGGGATGTTCAGGCACTTATGGCTGGTCTATCTTACATTGCTTTCCATAAGGATAAGGTTACCCTTAGGCCTAACCCTGCATTTTTACCGAAGATTGTTTCAGGCTTCCATTTAACTAGGTGATTCATCTGCCATTTCCTTTCCCAAACTGAGCCAGGGGGAAGCCAAACTGCATACCTTTGATGTAGTTGACAGAGCGAGACGGGTACCCAGAAATCACCTACTACAGGACAGGCCCAACAAGGAAAATAACACCACCAGTGGCCATCATGTACAGCCCCCAGCTAAAAACTCTCCAGCACATGATCAATGATCTACAACCTATCCTGGAAAATGATCCCTCACTCTCACAGAGGTTGGGAGGCAGGCTAGTCCTGGCTTACAGACAGCCCCCCAACCTGAAGCAAATACTCACCAGCAACTACACACCACATCACAGAAACACTGACCTAGGAACCAATCCCTGTAGCAAACCTCATTGCCTACTCTGTCCCCATATCTACTCTAGCGACACCATCAGAGGACCCAACCTCATCAGCCACACCATCAGAGGCTCATTCACCTGCATGTCTACTAATGTTATATATGCCATCATGTGCCAGCAATGCCCCTCTGCCATGTACATTGGCCAAACTGGACAGTCCCTACGTAAAAAAATAATGGACACAAATCAGACATCAGGAATGGTAACATACAAAAGCCAGTAGGAGAACACTTCAGTCTTCCTGGACATTCGATAACAGATTTAAAAGTAGCTATACTTGAACAAAAAAACTTCAGAAACAGACTTCAAAGAGAAACAGAACTAAAATTCATTTGCAAATTTAACACCATTAATTTGGGCTTGAATAGGCACTGGGAGTGGCTGGCTCATTACAAAAGCAGCTTTGACACCTCCTCATCTATTATTGGGAGTGGACTACGTCCACCCTGATCGAATTGGCCCTGTCAACATTGGTTCTCCACTTGTGAGGTAACTCCCTTCCCTTCATGTGTCGTCATATAATGCCTGCATCTGTAATTTTCACTCCATGCATCTGAAGAAGTGGTGTTTTACCCACAAAAGCTTATGCCCAAATAAATCTGTTAGTCTTTAAGGTGCTACCAGACTCCTTGTTAACTTTGATGTAGTTAAGGCTCTGTCCTTTTGCTGGGCAAAACAAAAACCATTCCGAAGCTCCTCTAGGCTAATTATAGCATTTGCAGATAGAACGAAGGATCAGGCAGTATCTACCCAAAGATAATTTAAATGGGTCTCTAATTGTATTCAATCATACTATGAGTTAGCTAGATTAGATTCACTGATGCAATTTGGAACCCACTCCATCAGAGAAGAGACAACCTGTTGATTCTCTGAGAAGCTATGAGGGGATCAGTTCACATTTTATACAGTATAATTCACTGGTAGAGGCATCAGTATCAGACACGCACTTTAGCAGAGCAGTACTCCAGTCGTTATTGAAATAGACGGCAAGCACCAATCCTCCTTTCTACGAGGTCACTGCTTGTGAGTCACCAGGAGTGGAATACATTTGAACAATCACTTGAAGAAAGAACAGGTACTTTACCCTCCAGTAAATGGGATTCTTTGAGATGTGTTGTCCATGTGTATTCTATGATCTGCTCTTCGTCCCTGCTACCATGGAGTCCTGTAACACCTGGATTCTGTCTCGACAAAGGAACTGAGGGACAGTTGGGCCCACTCGGCTGTTTATGCTCCCTGCACGTAGACTGCAGATGCAACCCCAATGGATTTTGCTGATAAAAATAATCTGATCTCGTGCATGGCATGCATGCACACCAGAAATGGAATACATATGGACACACCTCTTGAAAAACCAATATTAATTTATAGTAGGGTAAGTAGTTGTTTTCTCATTTAGATCTTTCTAGGATACCATTGCACAGCTTACTTTTGAATGAAGTAAAGTTGTTTTTTGGAGTACCCTAGTTCCTTGCAGTAAGAGAAATGGAGCCTAGTTGTTTGTGTTCAGTTGCCAATGTCTCAAAGTATTTCATCAAGCAATCTTCCCAGTAAACTTGGGTTCTGGGACTACTAGTTCACAGCCATTGGAAGGGTTTTTGTGTATTTTAGAGAATTTTACATGTAGTGTTTTACAAATGTTACCTACTTTGCAGGGGTGCTGTGACAATTAGTTATCTTACAGATGGTGGAAAAAAGGCAGAAAAGTTGAGTAATTCAGAGCCAGAATTAGAATGTTGTGGTCTCTTGTTGTCAGTCCCTGCTCAGTCCAGTAGTGTTCTCACATTGTTAAATTCTAACCCTTATAACTAGGTGCTCAGCTTAGTAGTTAGCTCAGCTGCAGGCAACCACCTGTGAAGGGAGCTGGGAGTAGCTTTAGCTCCATAAGGCACATAGAGACAGATGCCAGAGGGAGTAATTGGGTATGCTTGTGATAACCTGTAATCTTTCAGAAAATTACTCACTGGGCTTTGCATGCCAAATGGCCAATTCTGCATAAGAAGCTCAAATATTAAGTAACAAGAAAATAAATGTTTCTTAGCATGATCATGTCAGACTAATTTGTGAAATACGTGTTGTTTTCTTTTTTTTGTTTGTTTTTTTAATTATAGTTTATCTCTTTTTCCCCCCCCCCAGAGGTGGCTGGATCCAAACAAACCAATCAGGAAACAATTAAAAAGTGAGCAAATATATGTATTAGGTCTATTTCAAATATAATTTTTATTGAATAAGGATTTTAAAGTAACCTGATTAATTAGAAATGCTTTTGTTGATTCTAGGAGGATCTCCTTACAGTTTGAACTTTAGAGTCAAATTTTTTGTAAGTGACCCTAACAAGCTCCAAGAAGAATATACAAGGTAGGTTTAGGTAGTTTACGGTTGCAAAATTCTTTTAGGAAATTTAGAAGTGGAACTAAGTATTATCAAAAAGCATAATTAGTTTTTTGAAGGTATTACTTATTGGAATTGTCTCTCTTAAAAACCTGATTTATTCATGTTTTTTGTAATGTGTTTAGGATTTTCCATAGATAACTAAAAGTCACATGCTGTAAGCACACAAACTACACAAAAACCTTTAAAATGAAGCCTTGAATACATGGTGTTGAAATCTGGTGTACATATGAAATAATCTCACAGAGAAAACCTTGTTCAAGTAGAAATAGGAAAAGAAAAGTAAGAAAGGGAAGAGAAGAAAAAAGGAAAACTTTTTCTTTCTCCTACTCATCAATGGGTACAAATTGAATTTTAACCCATATTTGTCTCTTATGTTTGAAAACATCATATCATCTCTGAAATTATGCTAACTCATCATTCATTTTGTATATTAGTTCCTTGCTAATTTTTTTCACCCATGGATATCAATCAGTCTTCAACTTCACTTTTATTAGTATAATATGTAAACTTATGGTGCTACAGCAGCAATCTTAGCTGGCGCAAATACACTAATTTCGGTGTGCTTATTGTGTAGTAATGTGCCTAAGGTTCAGATTTTTACAGGTATTTAGGCATTTTTGCAAGCAGTGTTGCAGTACCTAACTGAGTTAGGAGCCTAAATCTCATTTTCAAAAGGGATTTAGGCAACTGTAAAAAAAACTTTTTGAAAATGAGGTTTAAGATCTTAAATCAGTCAGGTTTTACAGTGCTGAGTGCAGCAACGCCTGAATAGCTGTACTAATCTGGGCCTAAATTGTTTAAAGGGAATGCTCAATTGGTACCAGATTAAAAAGTTGTGAGTGTCCTGTGTTCTTAAGAGGTGTGCCCAAAAATTTCAAACCAAGATGTGTAAATGTAGATACCTCCTCCATTTTTAGGCACCCAAGTATATGCAGTCTGATTTTTTTCAAATTGCTGAGCATCTACGACAGAAGGTGACTTCAGTGGGATTGTAGATGCTTGGTCCCTCTAAAATACCAGGAAGGCCATTTTTTATTTAGGTTCCCAAAGAGCCTAACTTGTCCCATCTCTGTTGTTAGAACAGGCAATTTTTTTCTTTTCAAAACTTAGATAAAATATATGATGATATATTTTATGACATACACCTCTACCCCGATATAACGCTGTCCTCGGGAGCCAAAAAATCTTACCGCGTTCTAGGTGAAACCGCGTTATATTGAACTTGCTCTGATCTGCCAGAGTGTGCAGTCTCGCCCCCCCCAGAGCGCTGCTTCACCGCGTTATATCCGAATTTGTGTTATATTGGGTTGTGTTATATCGGGGTAGAGGTGTATTTTGCAGAAATTGATGGCCATTTTCTTACCAGCATTGACTGTTGCTAATCAATAATTCTGTAGATGCTATCTTTCCAATCTTTTTGGCTGTGTATAACTTGGCACATAGGGCAGACAAAAACGTCCTAAAATTACTGTTAATGTTCATGGGACCAACAGACATGGGCAACAAAGGGGGCATATTTTTGGCTGCCTGTTCATCCTCCGTCCATTTAAATAAACTCTTGCTAGCAAACAATCTATTTTTAACATTTATTAAGATTGCTAACATTTATTAAGGTTGTTTTAATTTAACATAGCTCCATCTTCATTGTTCTTACTATTTAAGAAGTGAATGCATTGTGCAAGCTATTTTAGACCTACATTGCTAAAGTTGCTTTAATTTCTATTGATTTCCCATGTTGTTCAACAACGTAGAAGAGGTTTACATGCCCTAAGTGATACCTAGTTAGCTAACAACTAATTAACTTCACTGTACTTACAACACACTGAACACAGAATGAACTCTGTTTTAAGAAAGCTTCCTTGTGATGTCCTGTAAGTACAACAGAATGTCTCCATTCAAGATACTTCACAAAAAGACTCTTTGGCCATGTCTACTCTTACCGGGGATCAACGCTGCTGTGATCAATGCAGTGGGGGGTCGATTTAGCAGGGCTAGTGAAAACCCACTAAATCGACCACAGAGCGCTCTCCGGTTGACTCTGGTACTCACCTTAATCTTCTCATTCTGGTGAAATCGATGGGAGAATATCTCCCGTCAACTAGCACAGTGTAGACACCGCAGTAAGTTGACCTAAGCTACGTCGACTCCAGCTGCGTTATTCATGTAGCTGGAGTAGCATAACTTAGGTTGACTTAACACAGTAGTGTAGACAAGGCCTTAAATTCACACCTGTGAAATATTCCCCCCCAAATTTTGTTTTGCATCATTTTAACATTTATATAAATGGAATCACAAAATATAGGAAACAGGAAGTTAAATTTACTCGTTAAAAAGCAAAATACACTTATTAATAAAATAAAAATAAAATAAAAAATCTTGTTTTCTGTATAGTCCCCTCTCTTCTCTATATCTCGGTGTTTTAAGATGGAGATGGTTCTTTATATTAAAAACATTTTTTTTGTCTGTCATGTTAAGATTGGCTAAAGAATTACAGGTGGTATGGACTTCAGTCTGTAGTCTTCTATCAGAGTTTTTATACTTTCAGTTTTACATGTCATCCTGAACTTACTATTATGTGTGATCAACTGAAGATCCTAGAGTACTTTTTGCGGGCATTAGGGGTGTGTTAGGCCCAATGTCCTTGATAAGTGCCAATTTGCAGAATTCCATTCTGGTCACTTTATATGCGCCCTGTTTCTACTCCTGGGTACAAAATGTGGTGGTTCTTCCCCTGAATAGCTGCCACATTGCACCCCAGAGATAACTGCATTTTACTTATGGATGGGTTGGTTCCTCTGTATATGCAAGCACATTTGTAAAAATGCTCGTGGGGTTCTTCACTATTGTTAATCTACTTTAAAAGTCCATATCAGGAACCCTTACATAACTATTATGAGGCAGTTGTTGTTCACGTATCAATTTGTAAGAAAATGAAAGAATCGGTAAAAATCCTCTTAATTTTTAATGCAATAAATTAATTCTAAATGTTTAATATTTACTGTCATGACAGAATTCAATCTGTTACTTATTTTAGTACAAACAAGTATCAGAGGGGTAGCCGTGTTAGTCTGGATCTGTAAAAAGCAACAGAGAGTCCTGTGGCACCTTCGCATGCGTCTGACGAAGTGGGTATTCACCCACGAAAGCTTACGCTCCAATACATCTGTTAGTCTTAAAGGTGCCACAGGACTCTCTGTTGCTTAGTACAAACAGTGCTTCTGATAATATAAACAGCTACATAAACAATTATTTACTATTAATTTACTGTCCCAAGGCCTGAGTTGTATGAATGCTTGTGTTACAACTGTCAGAGCAGATGTGCAAGAAGAAATATACGTGATGTAATCAATACCAGGCCCCGGGATGTCCCAAAGCGGTGTTATGTACAAGAAAGCAATCAACTGTTGCCACTATACCCCCTATTATGGGAGTGGTTCTCATTTGTAGTGTGTGTGCTTTGCTACCTTTCTAATTTAGATTTAAATATTGACTTCCTTAAAATCCTCTAAACCTTAATGAGGGAATGGAGGAAACTTAGTATATATAACTTTTGGGTGAATTATGGGTACATGTTCAAACTTATCTCATCCTTCACAGAGTCTCTCTCCTTTTTCAGGGAAGCCTACATTTTCAAATGTGACTATTCATTTTGGGTGCCTTCATTTTTGAGTGCCCAACTTCAGACAATTTAGAGGGCCCTGGTTTTCAGTAGCTTTTTCAGCACTTTCTGGAAACCAGGGTCCTTTAAGTTGTCCCAGTTTGGGCACCCAAAAATGGAGGTACCCAGAAATCAGTAGTTGCATTTGAAAATGTGAACTGTAGCATATACTTGTAGCAAATAATAGACTAAAAGAAATACACTTAAATTAAGGCAATCTTTATTATATTTTTGTTATAAAATAGCTGCAATAAGTGAGTAATTTGCTGTCATCTGTTTTCTGTCACTAAATGTACTTGACTGAAAACAGTCTCCTTATTTTGAATGTTTCATCTGCTCATTTTGCTGCTTATTTCCCACCTTAAGGGTAAACAGTGGGAGGAGCAGATGAGCTATTATAAATAGGCTGTTCTCATTTAAAAGTCATTTAAAATAAAAGAAGAAAATACTGAAATATGCAGTTTATAGAACAAAAATTATGGAAGGTAGGAAAAATTGCAGAAAAACTTTAACATAATTGAATAAGATTTTGCATTCACAATTTTTCTAGATTGAGGGAGGAAGACAAACCACTCAACCCTGATATGAAATTGAAACAATAAATTGGTGTCAGATATCCTCAGGTGCTAAATTTCTGCTTCTGTATACCTGGAACAAAAATAAAACAATTTTTATATATTTGTAATACGAGCTAAATCAGGAAATAATCTTCAAAATTGGGTACCTAAAAGTAAAAGCCTAAATGTATAGAATCATATGAGACTTATAAATGCTTTAGTACTTCTGAACAGAAGGCAACTTTTATTTAGGTGCCTGAATACAGCTTTGTGTGGCTTAATTATGGCACTAAAATTTGATAGTTTGGTTTTCTCTATTTTATTTTTCACAAGGTAGCCATTTCCTCTTTTTTCCATTGTTTCTACCTTTAGGTGAAATTTGAATATTAATTGCGATGTCTTCATGAAATGTAACGTAAAATTGGATGTTCTACAGAAGTAGATAGTTTAAATGTATGGATATATACATGACTTTAATTGCCATCTCACATTAATATCTACCTCTCAAAACTTAAGAAATAATTATATCTGGTTAAATTATTCTAACACAATAGACCCAAAAGTGACATAAAATATTTCAGCTTTATGTTAAATTTAGGAAGACAGTTCTGTCTAAAAATACAATCACATTTCTTCAACCCATTGTAGTATTTTTGTTTTTTAAGGTACCAGTATTTTTTGCAAATTAAACAAGACATTCTTACTGGAAGGTAAGCCTCTTTTATTATGCTGAACGATGTATACAATTTATGACCAGTTTGTAGAGATTAAAAGATACATTATTTAATTTTTAGCAATGAATAATTTTACATAAAGATTATGAGCTCTATAATATTTGCTGAAAAACTGATAAAATAGTTTCTTTTAGAGTACTTACAAATGGAAATACTTATAATAAAAACGTCTGTGAAAAACTTGTGCTTTACTTTTCATATTAATTAATTACATTAAAATTATCTGTGTATGGTAAATAAATTAATTAAATCAGAAGCTTTTCAAAATGATCATCATTCACATCAGGTGTATCCCTTTTTTTTTTTTTAATTATAGATTGCCCTGTCCTTATAATACTGCTGCTCTTTTGGCTTCCTACGCTGTTCAATGTAAGTATAATTGCTAAGTAGGTCTGAGTACAGAGATTATTTCAAATTATGCCTTCTATTTTTCTGTTTTTTCAGTGATCACCTAAGTTACCATAAGTTAATGAATAGTAATAAGCATACACAAATGGATTTGTGTGATGATATACCTAAATCTGTACAAAAACAGTGGTATTTTTTCCATCAGTGAGGAAAGGTAAACCTTTTTCTTTCATGCATGTCATGGTATTTTCACTGAAGTGGTCATGAAATTGTTTTACTAGTACGCTCCCAACTTTCCATTTCCTCTTTATACTAATGTCTAAAGATATAGTATTGCTTTTTGTAAATCTCTATATGCTCTAAAATGTAATAGGTTACTTCCTCAATAATGAAACTAAAGCTGTTTTTAGATTTACATATTTCTTACTGTGAACATCCAAAAGTGTGTGGAACAGGGAGTTCTGGTAGTATCTAGCCGAATAGTTCCAGTTTACATAACTTATAAACACAGTTGCCAATTTTAAACAAGATCGCAAAGCTGTAAAGTCTTGGATAGTGAAGTTTTAGGTCCTTTCTTTTTTTCTGTTTCTTTTATAAAACCTGGGCAATTATATGGAAAACTACCACGATATGTAGTTAAGTATTTGAAAATCAGAAAATGATGAAAATCAAGATTTTAAAGTTACCTTAATTCTGACCCTGGTGCTTTTCTACTATTTTAGATACTTATATTTGGTATTTTTTATAATACTCCTTGCCAGGCAAACGTTCCATTAAAGTGTTTGTGAAAAGTACAAAGCTAAGCCTATTTTATGACATATAAAGTATATAGCTTAGATTAGTAATGAAACTTGCAGGAATATTTGGCCCAATTATGTGTCCAGCCAAGTTAGCTTTGTACTTAAATGCCTTCTCATATGAGTTGCTCTTAAAAAAGGCTGGGCTTCTGGTTGAAATAAAATATGTAGTAAAAGAATGCTGTCAAAATTATTAAAATACATACCTTAGAAAAGGTCTTACCATATAAATCATGACAATGAAATAAGTCAAGTGAAAAGAATTTTAAAAAAAGTAGAAAATGTATACAGTAACTCCACACTTAACGTTGTAGTTATGTTCCTGAAAAATGTGACTTAAAGTGAAACGATGTTAAGCGAATCCAATTTCCCCATAAGAATTAATGTAAATAGCGGGGGGTTAGGTTCCAGGGAAACTTTTTTTTGCCAGACAAAAGGCATTATATACATTTTAAACAATTTTAAACAAGCAATTAAATACAGATATTAAACAGCCTGTCAGCCCCCCTATCAGATCCCCTACATCCCCCCTCCCCAGTGCCTCCCGCCTGCCGGTGGACCCCATGGATCAGCACCTTCCCCCTGCTCCCCCTGCCTCCTGCCCGTGGCAATCAGCTGGGGGGTGGTAAACAAACCAGCCCGGGCGCATGACAAAGGTTGCCGATCCTTGGTTTAATGTGTTTCACAAATTATCATGTAATCTGACTGTATTGTAATGAATACTTCTTTTTATTTCAGAAGGTTGAAAAAGCTACTGGGGGGAAGCTGTTCTAGACTTGATTTTAACAAATAGGGAGGAACTCATTGAGAATTTGAAAGTAGAAGGCAGCTTGGGTGAAAGTGATCATGAAATCATAGAGTTTGAAATTCTAAGGAAGGGAAGAAGGGAGT